GGTAAAGAGCAGTGCGGGCCGGCTGGGGAAGCTGGACAGTTAGCCCGGCTAGAGCCCGGTTGTCCTGTGGTCATCTCTACCATGGACAGCGTCAGTGGTGAGTGTGCCACTGAGGAAGTAGGAGTGGGCCAAAACCTCTCCTGGTCATTCCTCACCTTTTGGTGACCAGGCCCCTGTGCCATGCTCTGGAGTCAGGCCGAGCTCCCTGACTTTCCCTGCAGCTGAATGTGAAGATTTCGGATCGGGGGAGCTGAGCAGCAGTAGAACGGGTGGGGTGCACACGGCTGACCCGGTCCCATCCACAGCCCGCATATGGTATTCCAAGCTCACCAAGAGTAACCTCTTAGCACAGAGATACGAGTAAGCCCTGAGCATCACCAGTTGTGGCCCTAAAACAGAAACAAAGAATTCTGATAGAGATCGTCGGCGCCCTTGGCTTTCCCAGTGAGGGCGGGGGAGGGAGACTGTCAGGCTCAGAGGTGCCGGCACGCTCATGTCCTCTCCCTCGGCAGGATGGACCCGGCTTCTACACCACCAGGTGTCTCGCCCCCATGATGTCTGAAGTCATCAGAATTCTCCAGGTTGGTATTGCCCTGGGAACGTTCCAGGCCCCTTCCCTCCCTCCTTAAGCCTGTCCTCCAACCCGTTAGTGTCAAGATGAGGGCCAAGGGGCCGGGAGACAGCTTGAGCAGTAAAGCCCGTGTGAGCGGGAGTATGGCCTTGCATCCCAGCCCAGCCCCAGAGCACTGCCAGCTGTGGTCCTGATGGCCCCCACACCCCTCTCACTGTGTTGAGCACTGGATGGTCCAGCCAGCCCCCCGGGGCCAGCATGCCAGGACAGTATGGGGCTAAGGTGCTTCCCCTGCATGGGGCAGACCTCGTGTCAGTCCCACATAGGTACCCCTGGGCACCACCAGAAGTAGGCCCTGAGCAAGCCCTGAGCTCAGCAGATGTAGCCTCCAGAGTAAATAAACTGGATAAAAAGATGAACAAGTTTCCTTCTAATAGTCTAAGTTTGCCTCTTCCCCAGAGGCCTCTGCCCGGGTCCGCCCAGAGCTGCGCAGTGAGGCCTGGGGCTGGGTGCCCTGCCCCGCCGCGGGTAGAGCCGCCATGGGCTCTGCTGTTTCAGGTCCCGGTGAAGACAGAGCAGCCAGCACTGGCCTGGGCTCTTGGTGCCTCATCTCTTGCCTGGGCAGGAGCGGGGCCGGCCCCTTCCCTGGGCCCCTGGTCTGGGTCCTACAGCGCTGCTCCATGGTCACCCCTTCTGTCCGGCTGGGCTCTCGCCCTGTCCAGTAGATTGGATTTGCAGCCTAGAGGAGAGTGATGTGTTCATCTTGCTTAAAGTGCCAGGGCCAGGAAAGGCTCGGGCTTTCCCCAGTTCCGCTTCCCATTGGGAAACAGTCCCACGCTGGCCTAGCGGTGGACCGCAACAGTGGCTGGTGCGCCAGGCTGCCTGTGGGGCCAGCACAGGAGCCCGGCGGGGGGTCGGGATGGCCTTCCCCTGAGTCTCTCCTTTCCTTCCCTTCAGGAAGGAGTTGAGCCCAAAAAGCTGGATTTGCTGACCACAAGCTTCGGCTTTCCTGTGGGCGCTGCCACGCTGGTGGATGAAGTGGGCGTGGACGTGGCTAAACACGTAGCGGAAGATCTGGGCAAAGCCTTCGGGGAGCGGTTCGGAGGCGGAAACATAGAGCTGCTGCACCAGATGGTGTCCAAGGGCTTCCTGGGTGAGGATCAGCAGGAAACGGAACGGCTCTGTTGGTCTCGAGTTTCCGGAGCCTGCAGAGGGACAGACAGACCCTGGGGAAGAGCATGTCAGAGGGAACTTGGAATGGGACTTGACGAAACCTTTCCCTAGGCTCAGAAAAGGGCTCGAATCAAAGGCAGAACCCTGGTCTCGTTCTGCAGAACCCTGCCAGCGGCGGGCCCTGCCAGGCCCGGCAACCAGGCTTTCTCCCGCTGTGAGACTAGCATTAAGGACGGCCTTTAGGCGCCCACATTTCCTGCCGCCAGCCTGGAGAACTGGCACCTCTCAGTCCTGCACCCAGCTGAGGCCCGCCAGCCCCGTGACCCTCACATTGACAAAAGACAAAGTGTGGGGGCTGGAGCGATAGCACAGCAGATAGGGTGTTTGTCTTGCACGCGGCCGACCCGGGTTCGATTCCCAGCATCCCATATGGTCCCCCGAGCACCGCCAGGAGTAATTCCTGAGTGCATGAGCCAGGAGGAACCCCTGAGCATCGCCGGGTGGGACCCAAAAAGAGAAAAAAAAAGAGTATGGTCAGCTTCAGGGCCTGAGATTCCTGAATATGAGATTGCCCCCACCCCCACCCCGAACCCCCCCTTGCCCTGACGTTTCCTTTGCAGCCACAGATCTTGGGCCAGCTAGGCAGATCCCAGAACTCAAGGCAAGGGGGTGTTCTCAGGCAGGGCTGAGCGCGACTGACGCCCCCTCTTCTGGCTGCTTGTAGGTCGCAAGGCCGGGAAGGGTTTCTACATCTACCAGGAGGGCGTGAAGAATAAGAACTTGAATTCGGAGATGGATGGGATTTTAGCCAGTCTGAAGGTGTCGTCGAAGCCCGAAGTGTAAGTGCCTTCAGTTGGTAGCCTGGTGCTCTCCCCACCCTACCCCCCTCACCCCTACCCCGAGCCCAGCTGCTCGGCCTCATTGTCTGCGGGAAGACCACTGTGCCAGGCACCTTCACCCTCCAAGTCCTTTCCACGGCTCGGGGGCACCGAGTCCAGGTCCCTGGGGACTGCGCCTGGCTCGGGGGCTGCCGCGGGCTCCGCTCTGCCACTCCTGCCTCACTGCCTCTGCGTCTCTCCCTGCCCAGCTCCTCTGACGAGGACGTCCAGTATCGCCTGGTGACGAGGTTTGTGAATGAGGCAGCCTTGTGCCTGCAGGAGGGGATCTTGGCCACCCCCGCCGAGGGAGACATCGGCGCTGTGTTCGGGCTGGGCTTCCCGCCCTGTCTCGGAGGTGGGTGTTGCACACGGGGACAGCCTGGTGTGGGGGGGGGGGCCACGTCGGAGCCCGACGCAGTCTCCTGCAGCCCAGTCCCATTCCCCACGCAGGACCCTTCCGCTTTGTGGACCTGTACGGTGCTCAGAAGATCGTCGACCGGCTCAAGAAGTACGAGGCCGTGTACGGCAAGCAGTTCACCCCCTGCCAGCTGCTGGTCGACCACGCCAACAGCAGCAAGAAGTTTTACCTGTGAGCAGGCCCCGGCGCCTGCCCCGCACACTAACCCCGCGGCCAGCAGGACTGATTTCCCCTACAGTGGCCTCAGGGAGCGGTCAGCAGAGAACAGACTAGAGCGGGTGTGCGGCGCCATCAAGTGCCTTCAGCTGGGCCCGGCACTGCCGAAGCCTGGCTGTGAGTTAGCCCGCGCGCTGGGAGCAGACCCACACCACCGAGCTCGGAACCGTCAGCCCCACGGTCCAGGACGACAGCGGCTCTGGGGCTCTCTGCGACCTGTTCCTCCCGACGAACCAGGGCTGGGCAGTGGTGGGGAGGGCATTGCTGCCCCGGTAACAATAAAAACCCTCTTTATTGGCCTCTGCCCGTTCCTCTCTCCTGCTCTTGCCCGCCCGGCCAGCACTCCTCTCTGGAGGAGTGGACGGACGGAGGAGGCACATGATTCCTCCCGGTGAGACCACGGGAATGCTCTGGGCAGCACATGAAGAGACGGGGTGGGGGGAGGAAGTGGGGGCTTCAGATGGAATTGGGCTGCTACCCAGGGGAAGGCGGCCAGGAGCCTTAGACCAGTCACACTTCCTTGTTGCCCACTTACCAAGGTCTGCCATGTGCACCTCCCAGTGTGGGAAAGCCAGGGTCAAGCAGAGGCGAGAACATTCTCCTTCAGTACATCCTGCACCCCTTGGCTGCCCTGAGTGGCTTGGTGGGGGGGCTGGCACGACAGCCAAGGCAGAAGGCCGCAGGACAAGGCCCACGGGTCGGCCCTTCTCCCCCTCCCACCCCCAGGGCAGACGTGCCCAATCTAAGTCTGAGTCGAGTGCTGGGGTGCCTGCGTGTGTGTAGAATCCTGACCGAGGCCCTTCACGGCGTATGGTGCAGTTTGAGACTGTGACTTGGCTGAGCCCAGTGCTCCACTCGGGGTGACACAGGCAGGGAAGCCAGTCGAACCAAGTCGTCGGAGTTGAGTTTCAGACCATCCAGAGCGGTCTGTAGAGAGGAAGCCTCAACAAAGCCCCCAGAGAATCAGGGTCTGAGTAGACATGCTGGGCCAGGGTGTGACGGGAGGGGCCGGACTCTCCCGCCCAGCAGCATGCCAGCGTGCTCTGTGCCTGCTGGGCCCTAGGACCCCAGGGAAGCCAGCCAACACCCAGAATTCCACACGCACTCTTCTCCGGCACTTTTATTTTCACCAGTCCTGAGGATTCTCCCGGGATCAGCAAGGAAACCATTCATTTTGCACCCGCATCCTCACACCCCTTCCCGCAGAGCAGAGCCGACCTTCACGGCTCCAGCGTGAAGCAGAGGAAATAAATACCTAGGCCGGCTCCCGCGCACCCGGCTAAGGCCAGCCCTGGCCTGACAGGAGGAAGAGTGTGGTTCTGGGGAGGGGAGGCAGGGTGGGGTGAGCTGCCCACCAGAGCAGCACTTGCGGGACCACGCAGCACGACAAGCGGGGCCCCAGGCACTAAGCTGGCCTGTGAAGGGTGCTCTGCTGTCCCACACACCCACCCCTGTGCCACTGACCGGAAACCTGGCACGGGTTCACCCCACGCCCCCTGGGCTGGGAAAGGGGATGCAGGGGCGAGACAAGCTGCTGTGACTCGGCACCAGAGCCCCAGGACGGGGTGCGGCTGTCTCCCTAACGGCACAGGACACCCAGAGCACGTCCACGGCCCACACCCACCAAGGTGGCGGGGCCTCTGGGGAGTTTGTGCTTACGTCCCCATCATCCTCCCTCGGCCTTCACCTGAACTCCGACCTGAGGGGTACAGGATGTGAGGAAGGGGGGCCCTCCTACAGGAAGGAGGGCAAAGGCATCATCAGGCCCAGGGACACGGGCAGCGGTGCTTCCGGTCCCGGCCTCGCTCAAAGATAAGGCGCACCTGGCAGGGGTCTGGCCCGGGACGGCCTCCACCCCTACCATGTCCCAACAGCCTGGGCTCTGGTGACGCTACTACTCCAGCCTCGGGTGCAGAGCTGGGGCCAGCCAGGCCTCCTGCCAGCAGTGCGGCTGCCTGGGGGCACCTCAGATCTTGGGGCGCCAGCCTTTGATGAACTGCATGATCTTCTTGACCTGCAGTTTGGTGAGGCGGAAGTCGTCTGCCAGGATGTCTTCACTGAGCTGTACGAAGATGCTGCCGTCGATGCGTTCCCGGGCGAAGAAGCTGACTACGTCCTCCGAGAGCCCGATGAAACGCAGGCTGCGGGACACCTCCTCCAGGGAGAGCGCCGACAGGTCGGCGGGGGGCTGCCAGGACACGGCCCCATCCCGGGGACTGGCAGGAGGCCCCTCCAGGCGCCCTGGCGGAAGGAGGAGGCGGGAGCCACTCCCGGCCTCGGGCCCCTGCAGGGCTGCTGGTGACAAGGGAGCAGGGACTTGCCGCAGCACCAAACCTTCTGGCTCAAAGGCCTTGGGGGGTCCAAGTGGTGAAAGGCGGGGCCCGGGTCCAGGCGCCCCCACAGCCCTGGGCTCCGGACCGCGCAGCAGGTCAGGCTCTGGGGGACTGCCCTGGCCCAGTTCAAAGGGATCCAAGGGTTCCAGGACAGGCTCCTGCCACTCGGAGGAGGACGAGGATGAGGTGGGGCAGGAGGCCGGAGCCGCGCAGTAGGCCTGGCCCGACGAGCCTGGGCCTGGGGAATACGCGGGGTTGGAGGCAGTTGGGGCCCCCGAGGTGGTAACGGGCCCCGAAAAGGGGTTAAGCGCACCAAACGGAGCAAAGCGTTTCTGGGGGTGCGAGGACTTGAACAGAGGCGGGCAGCTGTGGTAGGTCTTGACAGGGGTGTCGGCGCCCAGGAGGGAGGCCGGTCGGCTGCTCGGGGGCTCTGCCAGGGCCCTGGTGGCCTGGCCGGGCTGCGTGGTGGAAGGCAGCGTTCCGGGACCCGGGCGGCTGGAGGACTCGCCGGCCTTGCAGTCTCCCCAGGTGCAGGGGTAGCAGTAGAGCGAGTAGGCATCGGGCGAGGGCGAGCCGCTGCCGCTGCGGGCGCCCACCCTGCGGGCAGACAGCGAGAGGCTGGGTGAGGCAGAGCAAGCAGGAAGGGCCACGCACATGTGTGCCAACAGCCACGCTGGCCCCTGGGGCCGCCCGGAAGGCAGAGCAGCCTGGAACTCAGTCCCGCCCTGTTTCTTCCCACACCCCCTCGACCCCAGGTAGGATGCAACTCAGCTGAGTGTGTTACACAGTGGGCAGAGAGCATGCGTGACACCCTCCAGGCCTGAGTCTGCACCCAGGCACTGCCCCCGGGACTGCAGTGCTGCTGGGTTCCCGCACTGAACCATGGCTGGTTGGCCGAATATCACGGGCAGTAGCTTCTAGATGCTCTGAGTATTACTTAGGAGGTCTCTGTCCCCCCATCCCCAATTTTGTTTTGAGGCGTCTACACACTGCATTGCTCAGGGCTTACTCCCGGCTCTCTGCTCAAGGATCACTCCTGGGGGTCCCGGGGAACCACGTGGGCTGCTGGAGATGCCCGGGACAGCTCTGCACAAGGCAAGTGTTTATCTACCTTAACTAACTCTCGGCCCCACGGCCTCCGTGGTCAGGCTGGAGCGGGAGGGTGGCCACACAGAGACTGGGTGCCAGACCCCTCCTCCAACCCTGGAGCCCCGCCCCGCCTCCCCTCAGGAGCAGGAGCCGCTCACCCATCCTGGAGGCCAGAGCAGTAGTAGGAGAGGCTGGAGCTGGGGGAGTGGACAGGCTGCAGCTTGGGGAAGCGCGGGGGCACCGGAGGGCTGCCCGCCAGCCAGCCGCTGCCATTGCCGCCTCTCGGGGGCACCGGCGGGGCGTTGAGCAGGCGACACTCTTCCTTCACCTGGAACAGGGCATGCAGTGACTCCCCCACCCCGCCTCTGACAGCTGGGGCTTCCTCCCGTCCCAAGGACTGACGCATCTCTTGCTCACACCCCTCCTGTTCTGGGCCCCCATCCTCAGGGACCAACCAGACATCTCCTAGCCTTGGAAGTGCACCCCAGTGTGGACCAGAGTCAAGGGTGCAGGGAGGAGCAGTTTGGGGGTCTCCTCGGGGAGAAGACGCGAAAAGGGAAGGTGGGCATGTGCCCTCTGGACCCCGCCCTCAAAAGCCCTGGGAACTTGGACTCGGACAAGCAGGGTTCCTGGAGGGACCCCCGGCTGCAGTGAATGCGGTGACCCTGAGTGAGACACAGTGGCTGGAAGCAGCCGCTACAGGACGCGGGTTCCCGAGATGAGGCTCTTCGAGTCTCTGCTCCAATTCTGGGGCTCCCCCAACTCCGTGGGCCGGGCTCCCATGCGCATGTCCTGGAGCCCTGTGACGCCCCCCTCCAGGATCTCCGGGCGCAGAACTCCCCTTTCCAGCGCCCCTCCGGCGGGTCCACTCACCGCTTCGGATTTGGGGGGGACGGGAGGGGGCGGCGCCTCGGGCTCCAGATGGGGCGGCCCGGCCCCGAAGGAGATGAGATCGGGCCCCGGGGGCGGCCGGGAGCGACCCTCGGCCGGGCCGTCGGCTGCCTGGTGCGCCCACAGCTCCTCGTAGGGGATCTCGGCAGGCGGTGCGGCGGGCTCGGGCGCGGCGGCCCAGTCGGGGCTCACGTAGTCCTGGTCGCCGTCGCCTGGCGGGCCGGGGGCGCGGGCAGGCAGAGGCGCGCGCGGGGGCGCGGGCAGGCAGAGGCGCGCGCGGCGCGGGCTGGCGCCGTCATCGGCCAGCTCGGCGGGCGCCTCGCGCACGGCCGTCGAGTACTCGTCGGGGTCGAAGCGCTCGCGGCAGTAGGACGCACTGTCGCGCACCAGGCGCTCGACGCGCGGGTCCCCGGCCAGCAGGCCCTGTGGCAGCGCGAAGCGCGGCGTGTCGGTGAGCAGCAGGAAGTGCAGCGGCGCGGGGCCCTCGCGGCGCAGCGCCAGCCCCAGCACCACGGTCTTGGAGATGATGCTCACCAGCTTGTAGCAGTGACCCTCCCGCACCGGGTGCAGGTCGTAGGGGTTGCGCGGCGGCCGGCTGGGCACCAGCACGTTCACCGGCAGCCGCACGCGCTCGATGATGGCCCGCACCGTGTGCTCGCCCTCCTGCATCTGCAGTTCCAGCGGGCTGCGCGTGCTGAAGCGGCCCTGGCACTGGAAGGGCAGGCTCAGGCTCTCGTTGGTGCGGTGGTTCATGCAGATGAGGCAGGGCATCTTGCCTTTGAGGGACCGCGCGCTGCTGCCGCCGCCGCCACCGCCGCCGCCGCCGCTGCCGCCCGCGGTCCCCGGGGCCCCGGGGCCGCCACCCCCCATGCCCGCCAGCGCCCCGGCCCGGCCCAGCTTGCGCAACAGCGTGGTGAAGCGCGAGCGCTCCTTGGTGCTCTTGGCGCACAGGATCTCCGCCTGGCCCATGAGCGTGAGCTCGTCGCCCGCGTGCAGCGTGAAGTTGTACACCTCGCTGTCCTCGCTGAACTCGCCGGACACCACCTGTGGGCCCAGAAGCCGGCGGCGGTGCCTCAGCTGCGCGGTCCTTGGCACCTCTGAGCCACCCTCTGGGGCTGAGACCAGAGAGCCTGCAGCCAATAGTACATCCCGCTGCCCGGGTTCGAAAACTGGGCACTGCCAGGAATGAGCACCAGAGCCAGGAATAGCCCCAGAGCACCCTGGGATGTGGCCCAGATACACAAGGGCACTGGGCTTAGGGGATCCGGGGCCCCTTGTCCATACTGGAATATCTGTGGCGGACATGGAAGGTCAGATGAGTTATCTCTAGGTAACTGACTGCATGCCTAGCTCTTACTCTGAAAGGGGGCTGGAAGGAGTAAACACATTCTGTGCAGGGACTTAGCTTTGAAGATTAAATAGTCATTTTCCTGGGGCCGGAGCCCATGCTTTGCCTGCCTCTCATCCAGGCTCTGTCTCACCAGGAGTGAGCCCCAAACAACAGTGCCAGGCGTGGGCCCAAAAAAGAAATCAAATCAGCCCTTTTCTTCTCCTGATCTTTAAAGCCTGCACAATAATAAGGTTCTACCCCTGGTTCGAAGACAGAGATCAAGTGGCCGAATGCATGCCTTGCTCAATGGAGAACCGGGTCTGATTCCCTGGATCACATGGTTCCCAGAGACCAGAGGAGTGGCCCCCAAACACAGAGCAAGGAGTCACTCCCACCCCTGCACTACTGGGTGTGGTCCCCCCAAAAGATCCACCTGCTCGATAAGGCTTCTGGGAAGAGAAATGCATTGGAGAGAGGGGAAGGTTTGAAGCACCACTGGAACATAAGCAGGGACACCTCCTAGGCCCGCCGTACACACCCCACCCTATGGAAGTGACTCTAACTGCCCGGGGCACTTGCCCATTGGGCCTTGGCCCTTCCATCTCCCAGTGGAAATTCTAGCCCAATTCCCAGGAGCCCTGATGTAACAGGGCCACACCCTGCCTTCTGGTCCTAGACCCTCATGGGCAACCCCTCCTGTGAGAGCAGCGGGGCCTGGTGCGGGGCAGACTGACCTTGACGCTGAACGTGATGGCCTCCATCACAAAGATGCGGTCTGGGAAGACGCTGGCCACCTCCTCCACGCTGCTGAAGTACCGCACCGGCTCCCGCACGTCCCGGGCCTGCTCCAGCAGCTTGAACTTCCCTAAGCAGGAGGGGACACAGCTGCTGGGAGCTGCCTCCCCAGCACCCTCATGGGTCCCCCTTCTTTTTCGGCAGGGTGGCACACCCAGCGGTGCTCAGGGCTTACTCCTGGCTTTGTGCGCAGGGAACTACATGCGGTGCTGGGATTGAACCCAGGTGAGCACATGCGAGGTAAACGCCCTTCCCCCCGCGCTATCCTCTGGGCCGGTCAGGGCGGCCCTTCCTGCTCCTTTCGTCTCGGCTGGCCCCTCTGCAGCACGAGATGGACAGACCCAAGGGCAGGTCTGAGCCGGGCAGAGTGGAAAGGGCGAGTGAGCAGTGTTGTGTCTCCACAAGGTGCGACAGACTCCTAGCAGAGCATGCTCAGGCCCCCATCCTGCCCCTCTGAGCCCACACACCTAACACACGGGGCTCCTAGAGACCCCCAAATCCAAACATAAATCCAGGGTATGACGAATCAGAAAGAGAAGCCCCTCGCCCCTCGTGCCTGGCCACTCTGAGCCCCTCTGGGGAGCAGCCCCGCTTCCCCCAACGCTGGCCCGGAGGGCAGGAAGCAGGAAGGACAGGTCAGCTTCCACGCGGCCAGAGGCGCCCCTTTCTCCTCCCCCACATCCCCACAAACGACCAGGCCCAGCAGGCAGGCGGCGGGAGCCCCGTGGGGAGCGCTGGAGCGGGTCTGGCCGGCGGGCCGGGAGGATGTGGCCGGAGATCGATGTAACCATGGCAGCCTGCAGCGGCTGGGTCAAGGCCGCCGAGGAAGGCACGCGCCCCCCCCCCCCAGCCTGCCCCTCCCTGCAGCCCCGGGGGCGCTTCCTCTCTGGCCTCCCCCGGGAGTGCCTCCGAGCATCGGGGCCGAGTCCCAGCCTCGGGCGTCTGCGCGATGTCGCCCTCGTCGTCCTCGGGGCCCCATCGCCCCATCACCGCGCGAACGCGCTCGGCCCCGCAGACCACCTGGGGCACAGGTGTTCAGCGCTCCCCGCTGGGAAGGGGCGCGGCCCTGCGCCCCCGGGAAGAGACTTTGAGCTGGGACCGTCCCAAGGGTGAAGCCCGGGCACCCCGCAGCGCCCCAGCCCGCTCCCACCGCCCTCCCTGTTCGCACCATAATTCATTCACTAAGGGAGGGAGATTCATTAAGGGCCGAGCCCCCCCTCCCCCACCGCCTCGGCCCTTTCCCCTCCCCTGGGGGGCTCCCCTCCCCCTCCAGGCGGCCCGTCGCCCAACACAATGCTGGGACTGAGGCGGGGTGTGATACCCCTGCAGACCAGCTGCCACCCACCCGTTGACCACCGCCAGGGTGGGCGCGCTGTCCAGGGCAGAACAGAGAGGAGCCTCGCACCCCTCCTCTAAGGTGAGCCACGCCCAGCGGGGCGGGGGCAGCCGGTCCTCCCAGGCTTTGGGGCACAGGGATAAGCTGCTCCCACCAACAGTGGTTTCCAGCCAAAGCTTCTCCCAAATCTTTGCCTCTCTATCCCCAGAAGACATGTTGACCCCCCACCCCCTGGACCAGACAGGCGGGGAACTCTGTACCTGGGCAGCCACCATCAGGGACCCACACCATCAAGCCCCAAAAGTACCTGTCAGTGCCCCTGGGACCCCCCCCCCATGAGGTTCCATCCCGCATGCAGCTGCAGGAGCCCCTGAGCATTGCAGGTGTGGCCCCCGAACCCGAACCCGATAAATAACGTACTGGAGTGATCAGCTGACCCAGCGGGCGAGTCCGGAGGTAGATAGGCTGGCCCGGGGGTGGGGTGCAGTTCTGGCTCCAACACAGAAGCTGGGTGCACACAGGGAGTCTGGGGCCTCCCCCCACAAGGCACAACACCCCAACAAAGGACTTCTTTTCTTTTTTTGGTTAGTTCTGAGCCCCACCCAGGGATGCTCAGGGCTTACTCCCTGCGCTGCACTCAGGAATCACTCCTGGCAGGCTCAGGGGACCATGTCAGATGCTGGGGACCGAACCGGGTCATCCTTGTACAAAGCAAGTGCCCTGGCCACTGTACTATCGCTCCAGCTCCTCAGCAAAGGCCTGTAGTATGGCCGGCCCCAAAGGCCAGTCCCTGTGGCCCGGGCATCCCCCATGCGGTGGGCAGCGCAGCTGGCTCTGGTCTCCTGCAGCCGCAGGCGTCCCGCACAAACCAGAGCAGGGGGGCTCATTAGCATCATCTTATTTAAAAGTCTAAAGTGTTAACATTCGCTTTGGAAGTGAGTGAAGACAATGAGTTTCACACACACACAGCCACACACACAGCGGGAGAGGCGACAGATGCTGGCCGTACCACGGTGGCCGAGCACCGCCCTTTGTTTCCAGGATGCTAAAAAGATGCAATTGAGGCTTCTCAGAGGCTTCTTGGGGCACAGGAAAGCTCTTATCAAGCAAGGTTTGGTGTGCTGCTGTTTGCAGGTATGTATATATTTATATCTGGTTTGGTGGCCCCAGCGGGCTGTGCTCAGGAATCACTTCTGGCCAGGCTCCAGGGATACCAGGGATCGAATCCGGGTCGGCCTTGTACAAGGCAAGTGCCCTAGGTACTATATTAACTCTCAGGCCCCCTCATTAGTATAAAACTGTTGGAAGGCCCTGGCCTTGTCCAAGGTTGACCCTGGTTTCATTTCTGTACCCTCTAGTCTCCCGAGTACCACCAGGTGTGACCCCTGAACGCAGGAGTAAGTGCTGAGCATGGTCAGGTGTGGCCCCTTCCCCCAATCTCTTTTGCTGGTTTTTTTTTTTGGAAGCACACCTGGCAGTGCTCGGGGATCATTCCTAGGCAAGCTCAGGGAACTACGTAGGGTGACGGGGATCAAACCCGGGTCAGCTGTGTGCAAGGCAAACGCCCTACCTGCTGTTCTATCACTCCAGCCCTCCTCCCAATTTTTTTTTTTTAAACAGAATCTTTTGGGAATTGGACAGCTACTGCAGAGATTCAGACACCTGCCTTGTATAAAGTCATAGGGCAGACCCTGGTTCAATCCAGGCATGGAGTATTGTCCCCTGAGCACCACCAGGGGTCACTCCTGAGCACAGTGAGGACTAGTGTCTGCTAGTGGTTCACACACTCGCCCCAAAACAAAATTATAAACAAAATCTTTCTTTTGGAACCAGACTGGGGCTCAGGGGGTGAGTGCTTGGGTGCTTGCCCTGCCTGTGTGAGGGCCCAGTTCCAGCCCAGCCCCACACCACAGAAAAACACAACCAAGTGAATCTTTGGAAGGGGGAGAGGGAGAAAGGGAGAGAAGGAAAGAGGGAGAGAGGGAGAGAAGAGTGTGAAGAGAGAGAGAGAGGGAGGGAGAGAGAGGGAGAGAGTTGTTATCATGGAACCCAGGGCTTCACAAAGACGAGGCCTCGGCCCTACCACTGACCCCCATGCCTAGTAAACACTATTTTAAATGAAGGTTTGCCCACCAGTGAGCGAAGTCACAGTTCCTGAGAGTCGGGCCCCACAGATCCAGCAGAAACCCACCAGCCCCCAATTCCCACCCTCCTCCCAGGCCTGCTCGGCCCTGCAGCTCCAAGGAAAGGGGTGACCAACAGCTGCCCGCCCCAGCGGTCCTGTGCAGCTGTCCTGGCCAGGCGCACCTGGGTACTGCAGGGGGATGTCGATCTTGGGCCCGATGACGTAGTGGCCCTCCTCCAGCGTGTGGGCCGTCACGGTGGTCCACTGGCGGCAGGAGTGGATGAGCAGGATGTCACGCTCACTGACGCCCTCGGCATACTCCCCTGGGTGCAGGGAGCACAGGGAAAGGAACAAGCGTGAGGGGTCAGAGAGAACGGGGTGAGCCCCAGGTCTGTAGTCCCCAACGGTTGGGCCAGGGGGAGCAGAGTCAGGCTCTCTCTCGGGGTCCCGGGCCTCCCCACCCTCGCCCTGCTCAGTCTGTCAAAGAGACCCTGCTATCCCAGGCTGTGAGGGGGACCAGGGCTCCCCAAGAGGAGGAACAGAATTATGGCCGACTTGAGGCTCCAGTGAAAGGGGCCTGACCCTCTCCCCTCCCCCCTGCTTGTTCTCAGCCTACAGGGAGGCGGGGGTAAGGAGGCTGGTTGTGGGGGGCAGGGAGGGCAGAGCAGGGGCTGCGGGCTGATGGCCCCAGCTGTCCCTCTCCCCAGAGGAGCTGACCCCCACCCTCTCACACTGCATCTCCTGCATTCGGGGGACCCCAAAGAGAGAAGACTGTCTCCAAGCCCTCCACGCTCCGACTCGGGTTCAGTTCGGAAGACAGGAGGGGCCAGTTCAGGGAAAGCGGCACAGGCAGAGGTGTCTGGAGGGGTCTGGGCTCCCCGAGGCTCCAACCCCGGCAACAGTTTCCAGGGGAGCAGAAGGGGGCAGCCCAGTTTCTAGGAGCTGGTCTCCTGGCTGCAGCTGGGGGCCCCCGAGGGGGTGGGGGGGGGGGCGCAGCCCCTCAGTAAACTTGGCCTCCCAGATAGCTGGGGCTCCCATGAGGTCTGTGTGCAGGGGGGCGGGGGTGGGGGCTAGAGGGGGGCAGGGACCTGGCTCCCTTTGAGGGGGCAGAGTCATCCCCAGCTCTCAGCTCCGCGTCCCCAACAGCCAATGCGGTCACCGCACACACAGGAACAGCATGTCCCCAGGGAGACAGCTCAGTCTCCCGGTCCCCAAGGGGTCGCTCCCGAGTGCCAAGTACAAGACTGTTTCATGCCACACTCACTGGGACCGGCCACGGCCACCACACCAGTTACTCAGCCACCGAGCTCCACGGATGCCACTGGGGGGGCAATAACGGGGCTGTAGGGTGCCGAGGAGCCCCGTGGCTAAGGAGCACAGAAAGTTGTGGGGTGGCGGGAATGGGGACAGTGTCAAAGGAGGACGCGCGGCCGGCCGGGCCTCCCCGTCCGCAGCGCACGCGCCCCCACGCCGTCGCCGCCGCCGAGGCAGCCGCGGGTCACACGCTGGTCCTTGGGGTGTTCTCCAGGTCGTGGGCGCCCGGCAAGTCCGGCGGCCCGGATGCTCCCACGGCGCCCGCCGCCCACGGGGCCCACTCCCCCCGCGCCGCGGCAGCAGGAGGGGACTCCGGGCCCGGGCCGCGCAGGAGAGGAGCCTGCGGGCCCCATTAGCATGCAGGGAAGCGAGTGTGCCAACGCGGGCCAAACCCCTATTCTTCTCGCACACAAAACCCCCGGCCCGGCTGCCAGCCCCGGCTCCCGCCCCTCCCCCCGCCGGGCAGCCCCCGCTTCCCCCAAGCGGTCCCCTCGCTCCGCGCGGCCTCCGGGAGCGCACCCCCGCCCGGCACGGGGGAACCCGCACAGCGGCCCCAGGCTCGGGGTCCCTAAGAAGTAGGTGGGGGGACCGGAGGCGGCTCCAGAGCACGCGGAATTAGGGAGCAGCGAGAAGGGTCCCAAGCGGGGCGGGAGGGAAGCCAGAGTCCGAGGCCCGAGGGACGCGGGGGGGCGGCGGGGTGGGATCGAGGGGGACAGGCCGGAGACAAAGAGACGGAGGGGGCGCGGCCCCCGGCGGGGTGCGGAGCGGCGGGGACAGGGGTGCTCCGACGGGGCGGGCGCGGCGGCCGGGCCGCGCTCCGAGCCCCAAGCCGGGCCGGGCAGCTCATTCCCGCTCCAGACCCTGTCTCGGGTCCGGCTGTCCGTGCCTGTGCCCGACCCGGGCGCCCAGGAGGAGCGCGACTCACGTTGGGGTGCCGGGACCCCGTTTCCCCCGGGGAGGCGCACCGAGAGGCGCGCGCGGCCGGCGCGGGGGAGCCGGGGGACCCGAGCGCATCCTCCGCGCCTGGCTCGCACCGGCCCGAAACGACCCCCCGCCGCTTCCTCGCCGCCGGCCCCCCCGCGCCGGCCCCTCCGCGCCCCGGTACCTGGCCCGAGGCAGGCGAGCGTGGGCAGGCGGCAGCGGCTGACGATGAGGTCCAGCGGGAAGGCGCCCATGCTCCAGCGCAGCCCGGCCAGCCCGGCCGCCAGCTTCTCCATGGCATGGGGCGCCCCGACGGCCCGGCCCGCGCGCCCCCCGCCGCCGCCTCCCGGGCTCCCCGCGCCGCCGGCCCCGGCCCGGCTCGGCGTCACGTGGCCGGACTCCCGCCGGGCGCCCGCCCCCCGCCCCCCCGCCCCACCCCCGGCCCGCGCCAGGCCCCGCCTCCGCGCCGCCCACCCGGCCCGCGCGTCCAGGTGACCGCGGCGCGCCCACCACCCCGGGGACCCGCGCAGCGGGTGCGGGGCTGGCGGGGAGGGCCCGGCCGCCGCTGCCACCGCCCCCTCGGGCCGCGCCGGGGCCTGTCCCGCTGCCCCGAGCTGCGGCCGCCGCGCTCCGGGGACAGTCCGCTCCCCACGGCCCCGCCGGGCCAGCGCCTCCACCCCATTTCACCGATGAGCAAAGTGAGGCGCAGCGTGGGGACGAGCGAGGGTCACCCGGGCTAGCCGCGGGCTTGGCCACAACCCCTGCCCCCCCCTCCCGCCCGCACCCCGGCTGCCCCGGCACCCAGCCCCGCGCGCGGTCCTCGGAGTGGCCAAGACCGGCCGGTTGCGCCGCGGGGCCGCGGTCTCCCCCGCCCCCCCCCCCCCCCCCCGGCACGTTTTTCGTCCTTCCCTGCTCTCCTCGCCGCCTGCCGCCGACCCCTCTTGGCTCGGGCTCCCGAGCGCCCCTTGGGAATCCCTTCCCGGCAGCCGCGGTGGCCTCGGTCCAGCACCCCCCGGCCTCGCCCCGTGTGTCTGCAGCGGCCCCTGCAGCTGACCAGGCGTTGATGCAGCCGGTCTGGAGGGAAGAGTGGGCTGCCCAGACAAGGCTGTCAACGCCCTTAAGAACTCATGAACGTGAGTCCAGTGTGTCCCCAGGGAGATGACCCCCCCCACACACACACACACACACAGGAGCACAGACCTCTTCGGCTGAGGTGACTAGTATCAGGGTCCAAGGGCCGGAACCTGGGAGAAAGGCCGAGAGTCCCTTCTAACCCAAGTCTCCATCCTAGCCAGAGAAAGGGACAAGCCCGCCCCCAGTCTTTCTCCTGAGTGGGGGGACATCCGGTAATGTGTCATCCAGATGTCTCTAGCCAAGGGGACACTATGCAGCCACTAAAAACAGAGAAATCCCAGGGGCCAGGAAGATGCCCAAAGATGCACAGGTTTGGCACAGGAAGGCCGGGCTCACATCCCCAGAACCACGCACCTACTCCCCTGAGCATCCCAGATTGTTTGTGATGCCAGTTTATTGAGATATAATATATAACATTGAGGATTATTAGCTACACAGACAGTGTTCAGTTCTGCGTTTTTGGTATATTCTTTGTTGTTGTCGTTGTTGAATCACCGTGAGAACACTCACAAAGTCTTTCAGTTCAAGCCTCGGTCAGTCATACAATGATCAAACACCTGTCCCTTCACCAGTGCGCATTTTCCACCACCAAGAACCCCAGTATACGCCCCCTCCTACCCACCTCCCACCTGTGTGGCAGATTTCCACTTTACTCTCTCTCTTCCTCTATGTTGATCACATTCAGTATTACGACAAAAGACCCACCACTGTTATTTGGAATTTTCCCGAACATTCAGACCTGCCACAAAGACATCATTAGAAAATTTATTTTCTAATGCTGCTTATGAAGAGCATATGATGTTGTGAAGCCACAATAGTGGCCACATGAATATGGAATTCTAATATTTTAGTAATAAACCTAGAGGGATTACTGCCAGAAGCCCTTGGGTTCCGAGATTAGTATGTGCGCCTCCGGGTTCATGGTCGGTCAGAAGCTGGAGGAGGCATTTGAGGGTGGCAACCCGGAGCATTGTCATGGCGGGGAGCAGGGCTGATTCCAACCCCCATCCCATGAAGCTCCACGTGCCTCATCAATGCAGTCACATACCTGGCTTTTCATTAGGCTCTAAAAAATGCAGGACACCATGTCGCCGCCACAGAGGGGAACAGACAGAGGGACAGACACCCTTCCCCTCCCAGGGGAAGCACCATAGTTAAATACACAGTCCAGATGCATTTCGGTTGGGGATTATCTTTTTGCTCACCACCATTCAAGCCTAATTTTCAGGAAGAAATGCTGTTTTTAGTATATTCTTGAGTGTGCAACTGTAGCCAATGTTTTAAAAGTTCCTAAAAGAACTGGAGAAATGGTTCTGGGGGAAGGCATGTGGCTGGCAGGTTTAGTCCTGAGCACAGAGCCAGGAAAGACCCTGTGTCCTGCCTCCTGAGGACCCTCACCAGCCCCATCAATAAATACATCTTTTAAAGTTTCTAAAAGAAAATATGTCCCCGGGAAGGAGCCAATCTCTTCCCTACACTGATTCACTTTTGTTGTTGTTTGGGGCCACTCCTGGCACTGCTCAGTAGTTAGTCCTGGCTCTGCACTCAGGAATCACTCCTGGCGGTGGCCAGGGGACCCTATGGGATGCCAGGGATCGAACCCAGGTTGGCCGCATGCAAGGCAAATTCCCTACTCACTGTACTGTCGCTCCAGCCCCAACACGCTAATCCACTTTTTTTCCCCTCTCATTTTGCGAACGCCATGCAGCTCCCTCGCAATGGAGTGGTAGAAACTGTGGTCCTCTGCACCCGCCTCCTTTCATTCAGCCAGCATCCTCCAGCTTCCCCCAGGAAGTAGCCCCTGTCAGTGTGCTTGGTTTTTCCCGAACTATTCCAATGTTTAGATACCTCACGTGTATTGATTTGCTCATAAACTGGTGAGCAATCATTGGAGTTGTTTCCCCTTTCTCAGAACCAAGAAGGGATTGGTGGGGGGAAAAAAAAACCATGTCAACACTATGTTTGGGGCCACACTTGTGGCGCTCAGGGGCCACTCCCAGCTCAGTGCTTGGGGGTCGCTCCTGGTGGTGCTCAGAGAACTATGCCGCCTGCTTGCAAAGACTGTGCCCGGCCCGTGAAGCTGCCCCTCCAGCCCTGGTTTCCTTCCTGAGTTGGCTGTGTGCAAATGAAGCACCCTACCCACTGCACTATCTCTCCAGCCTCAGAGATTTTTTTGTTTTAACTAAGGAAAAAAATAAGTGTTTGCCAAAAAACAACACATACACAGACCAAGCTAAAAAGAGCAAATGTAGCTGGGTTTTGCATTTCTCTTACTGTCTTGTCGGGGAATTTAGTTATACTTGATTGGAATCAAAGTCCCAGTAATAAAATTCCATCCATTTTTCCCCCTGCAATTGACGCTGGTCTTAGGGCGTTTCTCATGGGCTGATTTGGTTCCTCCAGTCCCTTGGGCGTTGCTTTGTCTTTGGATTTTCTCCAAGTGGCGCAACAAGGGGCAGATCAACTCAGGACTGACCTGGGGGCACAGGGAGCTGTGCCCACTACCAATGCCCAGGGTGTCTCCAAAACACCCAATTCCCCCCACTGGGCATATGCAGAGCAGAGGGGAAACCGGGGTTCAGACGCAACACACACACACACCGCATGGGCCCCCAAGGCTGGCTGGGAGCAGCCGCTAAGCAGAGACCCGGTGTGTGGATCCCAAAGCAGAAACTGCCCCGGCCAGAGCTGACTGTCCTCTCCTGGAGCGCCCGGGAGGAAGCACTTCGGTTCTGTCACTTGTCTGCATCTTCCCTGGGCTCTCTCCTCACGGATCCGGGGGGTACTTGGCTCATGGCTACCCACAGATAAGTAAGGCAGAACTGGCGAAGGGCTCTGCTGTGTAAGGTACCCCGATTCCTTCCAGAGCAGGCAGGGCCAGTTATAGAACACGAGTTGAGGCATGGCCTTGCATGTGGGCACCCCTGGGGGATCCCCAGCACCGTCTAGGGCCCCCTGAGCACTGCCAGGATGAGCACAGATCCCAGAGAACAGGGCCAGGAGGAGCCCCAGAGAATAGTTTGGTGTGCCCCATACCCACATTAAATACACTAAATACAGTCTATACAGAAATGAAAAAAAAAATGTGTCTGCGGCATGGAGATGTGGCAAGGCACATAACCTTGCTGGTGTGATCCTTGGGGTTAGATTCTTGGAGAAAAAGAAAGAGGAAAGAAGGAAGGAGGGAAGGAAGGAAGGAAGGAGGGAGGGAGGGAGAAATGGAGGGAGAAATGGAGGAAGGGAGTGAAGGAGAAAGGAAGGAGGGAGGGAGGAAGGGAGGGAGGGAGGGAAGGAAGGAAGGAGGGAGGAAGGAGGAGGGAAGGAGAAAGGAAGAAAGGAATGAAGGGATGAAGGAGGGAGGGAGGGAGGGAGGAAGGAGGGAAGGAAGGAAGGAGGGAGGAGAGAAGAAGGAAGGATGGAAGGAAAGGAAGGAAGGAAGGAAGGAGGGAGGGATGGATGGAGGGAGGGAGGCAGGGAGGGAGGGAGGGAGGAAGGAAGGAGGGAGGGAGGGAAGGAGGGAAGGAAGGAAAGAGGGAGGAAGGAGGAGGGAAGGAGAAAGGAAGAAAGGAATGAAGGGATGAAGGAGGGAGGGAGGGAGGAAGGAGGGAAGGAAGGAAGGAGGGAGGAGAGAGGAAGGAAGGATGGAAGGAAAGGAAGGAAGGAAGGAGGGAAGGAAGGAAGGAGGGAGAGTGGGAGGGAGGGAGGGAGGGAAGAAGGAAGGAAGGAAGGAGGGAGGGAGGGAAGGAGGAAGGAAGAAAGAAATGAAGGAATGAAGGAAGGAGGGAGGGAGGGAGGGAGGGAGGGAGGGAGGAAGGAAGGAAGGAAGGAAGGAAGGAAGGAAGGAAGGAAGGAAAGAGGGGGAGGGAGGGAGGAAGGAAGGAGGGAGGGAGGGAGGAAGAAGAAGGAAGCATCTGGCTCTGGTCCTAAGAGACTGTGATGTGGGGTCATCTTCAAGGTGCTGTCCTCACTGGCTCTGTAGAAACCCAGCTGAACATTGCAGATGAGGGGACGGAACCCGGGGGCCCCCCGCCTGCCCACTCAGTGGATTATTCTCCCAGGCCGCACAGCTGGTGCCCTGTGGGTGAAGGGCTGGCTAGGAGACAGGGGTCGTCGGTCAGAGAATTTGTGGGACTAGCACAAAAGCCAGCTTGCCCCCTCGCGGGGCACTGGCCACGTAGCACCTGTGGGGCTTTGGTCAAAGAAATTCTTCCGCGTCTCCGAGTGCAGCCGTTTGTGACTCGCACTCAGCATACATAACCT